CAGTGTGGTTTTCAAACTTGGCAGTTTGTATTAACTTCTAATTGTGCTTCAGACTTACAAGTGGAGACACTGTGATAATGTTTGTGTCCACACCAAGTCAGCAAAGTTTCTGCCAATAAAAGACCTTTAACTGTTCAAGTTCCAAGTTTCATTAGCTTAATTCCAATGAGAATTGAACTGTGACAGTACCTGGATCCTGTGGTTTGCTGATCACCATTTTGTTCAAATTACCATCAGGTTGCTTCCATTTGCTCTTTAACCAGTTAAACCCAAACTTAACACAGTAGGTGTCATCCCTGTGAAAGTACAATTACAATATGGTATTGCAGTGTTTAAGATGACCACCACACCAGCACTGTATTTTGAGCATTTCAGCTGTTTGTGACTAATTGCTGTGAAACCAATACAGCCTACAGAATTCGCTGGTATTATTCAGGGCACATGGAAACTGACACATGCTGATAATGTTGCAGCTGTGTCAACTCGTTTTAACTCTACACATGGCAGGTATAATCATGGGGACAATTTTAACAATGACTATTAATTGTCAGTGTGATACTGATTACTATAAGCACAGATTTTTCCATAAGTATTTTGTTGCTCTTTGATATTGTTACTGAATAGGAACTTAATAAATTAAAAATATAGAAAACATCTCCCCCTGATTCACATTTTGGAAACCGGTAGCTGTCTGTTTAAACAAAGCATCATTGATTGCTATTTTTTTTATTTGGCTAATATTAGCCAAAGTAGCAGCATACCTGCTAATAAGAGTTGTGCAATAACCAGAAACCTAGACTTAATTGTACTCGAGCTCTTCCTGACTGAATTGAGTAAATTATTAACTCAGGGCTTATACAGTACATTCACAATGCAGTTAGTCTGATTAACCATATTCACAAACTCCACTCAATGCATTTGTTGGTCAGAATTTGATTCTTGGAAAAATAAATCATGGTTTTGCCTGTGCTTGACGATGAGCGCTGTATTTTACATGTTAACAGTCAAACATGACTCTGTTTCCATCCTCATCTCGTTTTCATTTTCCGGTACCAGGCTGAGCAGGGCAGACCAGACTTCCCTTTCCCCAGCAACAGTCTCCAGCTCTTCCTGGGGGACTCCCAGTCTCTCCCAGGTCATCAGAGAGACATAATCTCTCCAGTGTGACCTGGGTCTGCTTAGGGATATCCTCACCAAATGCCCCAGCCACCTCACGTAACTCCTCTCGATCCAGAGGAGCAGCGACTCTACTCTGAGGTCCTCCCAGCTGCTGAGCTCCTCGCCCTGTCATGCCCAGCCACCCTGCGGAGAAACCTTCTTTCCCTCGCTTACACTCACAATCTTAGTCTTTTCAGTCACTTCCCAAAGCTCGTGACCATAGGTAAGGATAGCGTTGGAGATGGACCTGGAAACCGAGAACTTCATCCCCAAACTTAGCCCCTACTTTGCCACCTCAGTCCGGTCCAGGGTGACACCGTGTGGTACGGAGCGCTACACTCTGACCTCCGGCGCGCACTGGAGAGGTCCATGGCCGAGTGTGATGCAGTTGAGATCAAATCATGGTTCCTTCCCGGAAAAGAGTGGCTGGTTCCCTCCAGGCAGGGGCAGAACGGCTGGCCCAAATGGAGGGGCTTAAGAGCTGTGCCTCAAGGTCATGTTCATGGAGGCCTGTTTTCCTTCTGCCCTAGCAAGATATTAATGTATATTGGCTGTTATATTTAAGGAATGCTAAGATGTTATTGTGAAGCCTAAAAGAATACATTGCCGAACTTATTCTAATGAATTATTAAGGAAAGGGATGAGAACATTTGAAATAAATGCCACCTGTGATACAACCTGGCACAGTTATACTTTGCCCTCTGTTTTTATTTCCTGTTGTTAAGTTTGAGTCTCAGGAATCGTAAGCCTTTTGGTCATACCTTTACTGCATATCATTTCTATTTATTGGTTCCAATGTCCAAATGTCTATGCTATCTCTCTCCTCATATACACACCTGTTATACATGTGAATAAACTTTGGAATCAGTCTTGGCAGTGCCCTGTCCAGTAGGATAAAAACTGTACAGCCACGGGAAACCTTGATCAGCCCCAGTGCTGCACAGTACACCATTTCAGGGCATGGCTTCATGTGCATGGATTTCAATAATATAATTATGAGTTATGGGGGTAGGGGTAATGTACTGTATAAAAGGTAAGAGTTAAATATAATAACCCTCCAAAGCCATATTAATATACCAGATAACTTGCTCCATATTAGTGAAAAGGGCAGCAAACCTTACAACACTCGGCACAAACACACAAACCACTTCCAGGTGATTTACAAAGAAAGTGGTCCCTAAGCTCTGAGATCTGCCCCAGCCCCAAACTCTCTTCGTTCGCTCCCCTGGGGGCTGGACCAGGGTTCCTGCCACTGGCACAAGCACGGCTGCTCAGGGAGGAAACGCTGGTTTCTAAACAAACAAAAGCCTCTTCTCGGGAATTCCCAGATCTGCGTCCCAGAAATGTGTGCTCTTCTGGATGGGTACTCGAAAGGCAATAAGTCTTTGCTGAGCTATAAAAATAGACACTGCCCCCCTTGCCCTTCAATTTAGTCTGGTCTGCACTATTCCAGTGCCCAAAGAGCAGGCCCACATGCTGGTGCCTCGGATCCACGGGCAGGTGGATACTCTCTCACCAGACTGATTTCCCTTATCACTCAGCAAACCAGTAATTTATTTGCTACAGTGACCTTCACAACGCTTTGCCACAGAGCACTTTACAGACGAGTATTGCAGTTAACAATGCAATAACCGACCTTGCCAGTCCATCAAGAGGAGCTGGGGGTGGAGCTTAGGGTGGTTTACCCTGGAATTCCCAGATCAGTCTTAGTCTGTGTATTGTATGGATCCTCTTTCGAGTGCTGTAACTCATCACGGTTTATAGTAGATTAATACTGTCTTAAAAAAACCTTTAGTGAGAAAATTCCCTCCCTAAAAACTGCAGTTCTATTTTTTCTTCTTTTTAAAGTACACTTCCCACGCCACTCTGTAAATAGACATGCATACAGTACAGTCTGTTTTTCATAATGTCTGTGACCAGTCCCTGGACAAACTTACAGATGGTTTAGGCCCATACCAGCACGCTATGTTGAACACGGTATTGTTTAGGAATGTAATGGTCTGCATTCGTTTCCGTAACTGGAGGATCAATGTGTAGTCCCTAGCTGTTCCGTATAACAATCTACAGTAATAGAGTGTTCATCCGAAAATAGGTGATTTCATCAGCCCGATACCACCATCTGAGCCTGTCACAGCTATCAGATACAAACGATTCCGATAATGTGACTGCTATACCTGCAAATCACCATCTAAAACAAAACAGACTGCTTGTTAAGAGTGTCCAAGAGCTTGAATCTTTCAACCACTTCCCAACAGGGAAAGAATAATTAAAAAAAATAGCCCAATTTGTCCCAGGTAAAAAAAAACGATTCTCTGCAGGGCGTCAGTGAAATATCTTTGCCACTTGTGAAAAATGAGCCATCCGGGTGTATATGAGTAAGTGTCAGAATGTATTTAATCAATAACGAGTGTCACTGTTTCGTTTGGAGCCATGTTTTCTCATTTGCATTTAAAACCCACTGGAATTGCTGCGGCAATTTCGAGGCTCATTGAGTACAGACATTTTTCTGGGAGAGCTGAGAAGCCTGAAGTACAGCCCTGTGACGTGTTTCCAGGTCTGGCTCACGCGCACATTTTCTTGATCATGGCTGTTTCTGGGAAGAGTCGGCCGCACTCCAGCAGGCAAAAGTCTTGCAAAAGAGGAGAATCTGCAGCTGACTTCTGTGTTGCAGTCTGTAGTCTTTCCTTCATTCGGAGTACATTTTTGGGCCCGCGCTTGGTGAAGAGAGATGAGACAGACATTCTGAGATTCCCAGACCTCAGTAGACCAGGTGTAGCTCTTGTGCAGCCCTCCCTGAAGCTCCCAGTTGTCTGCCCTTTTCCACTGAAGAAACATGGTGAACTGAGCCACAGTAGCCACACTGCGCCCGCCGGTGACTTTCCAGAGAGCAGCAGACTGGCCTCGTTCACAGCAGTCATGGCTCTTCTTGTGTTTTTTTTTCAGCAGGAGTTTTCTGTGACCTTGGCCTGCACTCTCACATTTACATCGTCGGTTATTATTCTGTCATCTTCTCTTCTCCATTCTTGCTCTGTTGCCATCCACCAGAAGAGAAGAGGCCTGGGCCTGTCTGTAAGGTCGTCGGCCTTCGGTGTAGTGCTCTAAAACAAAACGACACTTAACACCTACTGACATTTCAAAGGCCAAGAATAGTTGTTATGTTCTGATATTTGATTTCTTTTTTTTTTAGCTTATATACTGTAAGACTTTGAGGAAGATCACATTTTATTGTATATAGAAATACAATGTAATAAACTGGCTAACAATACATAATTCTGCAACCTGTATATTTACAGTAGTCTGGCACTTAACTCCACCACAGAGAGCTGGTCTAGGGCTCGTCAATGTGCCATAGCTGTCATTTGACTGGTAAGGCGGTCTCAGGTTCGTTTAAGGCTGTCCAAGAAGTCAAAAGAACCTGTGACTTACTGTATGTGACAGAATATATGCAGAATATAATGCTTAACCATGAATAATTAAAAGTGTTTCTGTTTAATGATCATAGATTTGAAGCAGCAGCCTCTGGCCTGTGCCTTTGCAAAGTAAAGTCTAATGTCAGTCTTATCACTTCACCGCTAAGTCTGTCACCGCTGGTCCATTTATCCCTCTACAACCCTGCACTGTTTAATGCCACACCTGAGTGATTATTTTATTCACGACCTGGAAAAGGACCTTCAATTCCAGGCTTTGTAAAATAATATTGGTTTGGGATTCCAGAAAAGATCCAGAAAGGTGTGGCTCAGCCCTGCAGGACACTCGAAAGCTCGGTGTTCTGGGGGCCCTATTGGTGTCTGTTTGAGTTTCCCTGCATCACTCAGTAACCTTTCCTCATCGTTGATCCGCAGGCTGTCTGTGTGTCCGTGGGTACCTGAATCTGAGACCCCAGGGCCAAATGCCTGTGATGGAAGAAGCTGATGTAAATGAGAGGTAAGGGGAGTCTAAGTCAATGAAACAATTTCCTTCTCTCTTGCAATTCCTTGTCTCCGTCTTTTAGATTTTAAATGTATTCTCCTCAACTAGTGCTGATCTTGGGGAATTCACAACAATTAAAGATCAATTTGATGTGGAGGTTGTCAGAAAATGAAGACATTCATTCAGATTTCTTTTTGCAACACATCAGTGAACTGATGAAAGTTTTTTTTCAATGTTTTGTATTTCATCAACGGAGAAGCCGAAGCCTGGAAATATACACTTGAATATACACTTGAACCATAAATCTTTACTGAATGCCTGAATGAAAATGAATCATTTCATCTTGGCTGCTAATTCACATGGCTGTTCACTGTGACTGACTGAGCTTGCTATGTGGTTTCCATGCTTTGCTCGTGCGTCTCCTGGTTTGTCATATTCTCCTGTGAAAAGGCACCCTCTAATATTGAAGGGCAGACACCTGTCTGCACTGGAAAATTAAAACCAGCCTCCCCTGCGCCGCCCCCCGCCCACTCCAGTTCCAGGTCATGGATACACTCTCCTCCTACAACTGGCAATCGGAAAGGCCAACTTTTTCTGCAAATGTGCTCCTCATCTTTCAGCGAAGTGTAAATGACAAGCTGTCCTGTGACACAACACCATGATCCGACGCCTTGATAGACTGACGATTTTGCTCCGTTAAGTGACAGATGAAAGATCTTTTCTAGCTCTGCTGTTCCATCTCTGCTGTCTCTTGCACCTCACGTGCACTTGTAGGGTTACTTTCATAAGGTGGCACTCCCATTTTGCTCCAGATCAATAAACAGTACCGTGCTTGCGAAACCGCCCTGTTAAATCTGGGGATGTTGTGGGGATGCAAGGAGTCACAGCGTAGTCCAGTGAAGGTTTGAGACGAGTTTAATTGTGATGAAAACGGACATTTCTGGAGAACACGGAAGGAGACGCACACCACAGTGCCCTGAATTACAACACCCATTCATGGTAATAACACTGGGTGACCATTACCAAAATGCTTCCACTTATGACCCAGTGGCTGTTCCTGATGGTGTTATCCCAGCCTTTCAGCTATTTCTGAGATGTCACATACAGTATAACAGCAGATGTCTGTTTAAAATTCACACAAGCTAGGTCAGGAGTAATGACCCCAGGCCCGAGTCAGTCACTGTCATGAATACCGTCAACACATTTTTTTTTTCTCGGATTTCATTTGTCATTTGGGTTAGATCCTCTCCATCACATACTTTTATTGTCTTACTAATTTATTTGGCCGATGCTTTCAGGCAAAGCGAATTACTTTTAAACAGCTGGGCATTTTACTAGGGCAATCTCGGTGAAGTGCAAGATTCAGAAGTACAACAGCAGCTGCCCACCTGAGATATGAACCCATGACCTTACAGTTCCAAGCCCAGAGCTGCTCCACACTGCTGCCTCTGCAGATGTGCATCTTCTAGAGGCTGCCACACAGCTAATACTGGCAAATACAGTCAAAAAAAGAAATTTAAAAAGAGGCCGACTAAAGTGTGTTTTTCGCAGGAAGTGTTTTGCGACTTAAGAAAGAGAAAGGAAGTTAGCATTCAGTGAAATAGAATGATCGCAAATCATAAGAAAATTATAACTGGGAGCATTAAATACGATCAGGGTGGAAGGAGGCGGCAAGAACAACATCTGCAGAAGCACATACAGGTAGTTATTAATTCGGAAGAAACAGATTAAAAAGGAAATGCAATTTTCCTGACTTCTCCCCGGTTGTGGTAATTTAGCCTGCTGGGAGAGTTGTGAATACCAGAACACCTGTTTCTGCATTGAATTGCAGGTGTTGAATCGGTTTTTGATTCCTACCCTGGCAACCGATCGGATCCTGTCATCTGCAAGCAGAGCATGATTTAGCAATGATGCTGGATTCCCCCGATGGCGCGGAACCAGCAGACTTACTGTCCTTCTTTTTGCTGCTGTTGCTGCAAAGGGGATTCTCTCCCGAAAGCAGATCAGTTCAGCATTATTGGCAAGGGGGCGATGGAGAAGGAAATGCTACCAACGTACTGTAGATGAGCTCACCCCATCCGCTTGTGAGCTGTTTGCTGTTCAGCGTACCAAGATCTAGAGAGTAAGACACCAGCAGGTTTAAGGAATAAGAACAAAGACAAAAAGAAGTGAAAATTATGTATTAGGGAGTATATTACCACACTTTGCTAGAAACACTATGAATGTACACTGTCCTAGTTCTTTACATAAAGGGTTGTGTGGTGTATGGAACAAGCTACCCAGCCATAATGTTAAAGTAGATACAAGAAATGTCTGGATAAGATCCTTGGGTCAAATATCTACAAACCAACCAAATTGTCTAGATGGACCAAAGGTCTGTTGTTTGCAACTTTTCTAATGAACATTAGGTGTGTTTGCTGTATTGATATAGAATGCAGCTTGGTATTTCCTCATTAATCTCTTCTGAAGCGCAACTCTCACTTCATACTTTTGTTTAGTTTGGATTAGAACTTGGTATAATTAAGGTTTATGAAAACATTTAAACTATTTTAATCAAAGCAGGTGAAAAACATAACTCTCTGAACTGAAAAACATTCGCTGCCTGTTACCAATGCTTTTCAGCCTGTGTGGCGAGTCTGTTCACTGTTTTCTTATCCTAACATTATCACAGACACATTAGATGTTGTGGGATGATTGTTTTCTCTTAACTGACCCTGATGCATGGGCATGGAGTTTAAATCATTCTTATTTGGAGTTGACATAATGAGCACCAGTTAGCCTTTAATGGCTGCCCTTGCTGGAAAAAACTGCCCCCCATATTCATTTTTTTTTCTGTGTGTATGCGACTATCAATTACTTCTTACATTCTTCTCTGAAGTCTTTAGTTTATATCATCTGGCATGCTTGTATAAAAGGCATACGTGTTTCGGGTGTTTCATCTCTTGCAGTGCTCATGGATGGTTTAGCTTACAATGACAGCAATTAAAATTATTTTACCATTTCAAAAGATAACATTCTAATTACCAAAACTGGTTTTCCTTCTGATATGGGTTGTTGCTTTATGGAGAAAATTGAAGCCGTTAATTCAAGACAAAAGAATTCAGCAGCTAGGCAAGCTCATTTGGCTATATTTTGAAGCTCTTAACAATGCTCCTTGATGAATCTATAAATGCCAGAACACTTCAGCAGGTGGTTACAGGTTAATGCTCTACGTTTTCAGCAAATTAGTCAAAATCCTGTTTGATGAAGCATGAAGCTGTCGACCACGATTGCAGATTATCTCATCTTGCAGCACAGTCTGTTCATACGGTCTCTCTCTAAACAGGTTTGTCATGTTCTGACCCAGGCCAGGAATGGCCTGCTGGGATTGCAAAGAGCCTCTTTGAGGGGAGTTTCTGAAATCCCTGCAGCTCGTAAACACAATTCCTAGAAAGACCCCGTGCCTCTCCTCAGCATGTTTCAAATCTCCGTGAAAAAAGTTCCCAAAATAACTTCTGGTTTTCTGCCTGGGTTTAACACAGCTGCAAGGATGCAACACAGTGACAGTTGGTGAGGGGGAAAAGGCTGGTAGCCTTAGAGGAATTTTGAATGTCACCCCCTTGAGCAGATTTTTCACTAGAAGTTATCAGCTGAAGTGGAGAAGATGAGGTTAAAAGCATCTTAACTGCAAGATGCGATTCCGTGCCCTTGTTTGCGTTGTCAGTCCGTACACTTTACGGTTATCCACCATCAGTAAACTGAGGAAGCCTTTGCTGGCGGTCAGAAACACAGAAGCTACCATTGTCCGCTCCTTGGTGGACAACATGTCCCTGCTTGTCACGAGATCTTGACATTTTTCATGGGGGTGGTTCCCGCCGCACACCACAGCTGCTTCCTCCAGTTTGCAGTGTTGTCGAGGTCCGGCGATCCCTCTGGCCAGCGAGGCTGACAGAAGCCTGGCCTACTGTCCCACTGTCCGACTCTGGGAGGGGAGAGGGAGGGTTTTCCGAGTCCAGCATTTGTACTGCAGCTGATTGTTTGGCAGTGGTTCTCACTCCTCATACTGGTCACCCCTCCCCCCACCTCCTGGTTCTCCTTCCCGCCCTCCTTCATTAGACCATCAACCTGTCACAAGTTTGGGATTTTATTTCATTTACAAAATACAATGTTTAAGAGGAGGGAACAAAGAGATCAAACAACAATATCTATTTATTATTATTTTCAAGACAATGAAGGTTTTGATTGTGTAACTGAGGGCTCAGCTGGGACACAAACCAGCAGGTGTGAGGGTCACCAGGATTGGGAACCACTGGTTCACATGTTTTCACCTTCACATTGCATAACAATGGGGATACAATTCAGCAAATGCATTTTAATGCCCACAGTTGAACAGCAAATTGAATATCTAATCAAATTAAATGCATGACTGGGTAGACAGCGACAGCAATATGTATGATCCAAGATAAACAAGGTTTAATTCTCCTTAATTTTGTCGCTGCACAAAGCTTGTTTATTATCAAGCAAATAAGCTACAGCTGTATGTGTCTGTAAAAGGCACAGAAACATTTCTCTTTTTTATTGTGTGAAGATCTTTTCCAATTAGTAGTGATGGTTTATCTTCATAAACAGTTACAGAGTATCCCATCTTCTTACTTAGAAGTTTGTTAACAGGTTTTACAGGTTTTAATGTAAAGACGTTTATACTTGGAAAACGCTTTAAGCTACTGGCAGCCCACCATTACCGACTGCTACTAATGAAATTCATATGAATTTCTCTCCCCCTAAACATTTGCAACTTATTTCTTAATAAAAGTACTGGAGTAGAGTTTGAAATTCCATTGTTGTCCAAAGGATAACTCTGTCATAAAATCAGAAATGCCAAATGATATTGTTTTGTTTTTGTATGTTCAACACATACTTCTGTGTTTAACATTAGCTGGTTATTCAAAGCTTACTATAGTTGGAAAAGGCTTGTTTATGTGGAATCATATTGCGCCTGTATTGCTCCTATATTGTTTTCCAAACATTGGAAAATT